TCTCTCTAAACCATTCAGCATCTTTGTAGCTTGGACTTTATTGTTTGGGAGGTGCATCGGATCTTTAGCCCATGGATATGGAATCAACCACTGGTTACCAACTTTACTACTAGATTCTTCGATGAGTTTCGCTTCCATATTCTCAACTACACTAAGTTTGGCCTTGCAATCACAGTTACCCACATCAACTCCCATTGATTCGACCGTCCAGAAGTCGTCTAGATTGACTGGTTTATCTACCTTAACATGCATTACTCGGTTAACCATTTCAGTGTTGCCGTTGCTGCCAAATATAGCCCATCCCAAAGGCGAGTTTAGAGCGACTAAGCCATCAGATTTTTTAGTTTCCCCCGTCATCAAGTATGCGTAGTCAACACCTATCAATATGTCAACTGGACCGCCACGCCTCTTTAACTTGTTGTTTAATCGGAAGTGCTCCTCCAGTTTCTCTACGTTCACTTCACCCACTTCATTTATAGTCGGCATTTCCAATGCTCTGATGTTATGAATAGCCTTAGTCTCTGTTCCACGCAACTTTAGTTCGCAAATTCTCGACTGGAAACTTTCTTCAACACCACCAAATTTCGTAATTGATGCGGATACAGATTTACCCTTGACTCCTAATTTGTTGGCGAATTCAGTCCTTACGAATGTTCCTTGCGATCCCAGGTCCAACATCACGTTTGCCGTCTGACTTTCTTCTTTACCAATTACTTCGACCTCCAATACACAGAGCAATGGTTCATCGAAGTTTCTTACGTGCACGTTGTTTACGCCAACACTCTTGGTTAGGTGTAGCAGCTTATGATGGAAACGGTCACATCGTCTGTCTTCCATCTGTTCCCCACATACTTTCTTTCTTGTGCAATTATTTATTCGGTGGTTTCTTCCAGCAATTTTGAGACAAGAGAAACAGGCATGATTCTCCTTGACCATCTTGAACCGTTCTTCAACTTTCATCTTAGTGAACTTCTCGCACTGATCAGGCCAATGGGTATCTGATTTGCAGATCCAACATTTATCTCGTTGAGCTGTTTGAGAAGGAACGTTTACCTTAACATTATGTATCTGCTGGTTCCTCTTCTGTTTTGGTGGTTGACCTTCAGCTGTGTGATTGGTGATGCTCCCAAATACAGGATCGTTTATCTCCCTAGCTGACGCCTTTACAAACTTCATGACATTTTCCAACCCAGGCACTACTCCCTTTTCCTTCAACTTGAAATTTTCACTTTGCCATCTGTTTTGTAGAAATCTAGGTAGCTTCTCAATTATCTGTCTCAGACTGCCTTGATTGTTAAGTTCATTCAAGTAACCTAATGCTGACAGCGCTTCGAAGCAGTTTTCTAGATCATCTGAAAATTCCCCAAGCTTGATGGAATCAAATCTAGGACGGTTGAGTACTTTTCCAATCCAAGCTTGCACAATCACGGCTGTGTTCCCAAACCTCTCCTTTAAGGTCCTACACGCAGATTTGAAACCTTCACTAGGCGGCTTCAAAACACAATATTGGATAGACTCCAAAGCTTTACCGGAACAGAGAGAAAGTAGTGAGTTAAGTTTCATGTTATCATCATGTATACCAGCCACTGTATTATGAAAAGAGGTAATGAAAGCATGATAATACAAGGGATCACCTTCATACTGCCTAACTTTAGTTTGTGGCAATGTCAATGCTCTAAACAATCCCATCAAATTAGAATCAACATTAGTAGAAACACCTATCACAGATTCATTATTTCCTGCTTCATTAACATTTGATGCATTCTTAATAGATAAGTTATCATTAGACGAACTATCATCAGATACAGTATTTACAGAAATATTATCATTGGTAACATGATTTACTAAACCATTCTCATCACTCTGGTTTACCTCTACCACATCTTGTGTAGCTTTAGTTTCATTTCTGAATTCTTCTAATTTCGCCATCTCTGCCATGAATTCATCTTGACAGCGGCTCATCCACTCCCTGTCTCTTATACACATCTAGATGTGTATAAGAGACAGCTTTAATGCTGAATCCTCCCTTGCTCAATATGATATCTAAATCTTCGGTGAGAGCTTTGGCCTCTTTAACGTTATTCACTGAAGCGCAAATATCGTCCATGTAGGTATCATTCTTCAGGACTTGTGCAGCTTTAGGATACATTTCCTCACTCTCCTTGGCTGTAAGTTTGAGAGCAGTTTGCGCCATGGCAGCAGCTGGCTTGTCACCGAATGTTAAAACTTGCATTATATAGGTATCAGGTGGTCGATTGACATCTAGATCTCGCCACAAATATCTATGTACATGTTGGTCCACCTCAGGTATTAATACTCTGTGGTACATCTTCGAAATGTCGCCGCATACAGCTACTTCTCGTTCTCGAAATCTCATTAAAACACCATTCAGATTATTCAGTAAATCTGGACCTTTCATCCAATAATCATTGATGGCTTCACCATCTGTCTCTTATACACATCTAGATGTGTATAAGAGACAGATCTACACCATATATTCTTCTTCTATAAATCTCTAACATTTCTTCCCATGTTTGGCAATCTGATATATCCACCTCTGGTTGAACATTGTTTACCTCTATATGACCATTGAATTTTACCAGTTTTACTTCGCTGTCATCTTCTGGAACTCTTAATTTTTGCTGGGACCATTCAGTCATAGGACGCTTCAAGAATTGTGGGCCTTCCATCCATCTATCTTTGAGGTTTTCTGCTGACA